TGTGCCAAGCCTCCAAAGGCATTTCTGTTACTCAAGAGGTGGCTAATGAAAGTTATAATCCTTCTTTCTAAACTACAAAGCTCTTTTACATTCCTTATTTTTTTATATTTTTAAAATTGATTATAATTGGCATATAACATTATATTAGTTTCAGGTGTGCAACATGATTATATATTTGTATATATTGTGAAGTGTGCACCACAATAAGTCAACATCTGTCTCCATACATACATATTTACATTTTTTCTTGTGATAAGAAATTTTAAGATCTACCTTCCTAGAAACTTTCAAATATGCAACAGAGTATTATTAACTATAGTCACTCTGTGTACATTTTGTTCCCATGACTTATTTTATGACTGGAAATTTATACCTTTTGACCACTTTCACTCATTTCACTTCTCACCTCTGGCATTCACTAATCTGTTCTCTGTATCTATAAACTCAGTTTTTTTTCCTTGTGTTTTTTTTTTTAATTTCACATATAAGTGATATCATAATAGTGTTTTTCTTTCTGTGATTGATTTATTTCACTTAGCATAATGCCTTCAAGGTCCATTCATGTTTTTGGAAATGCAAGATTTTGTTATATTTTATGGTTGAATAATATTTCATATATATATTTCACATTTCATTATCCATTCATCCATCAATGGACTCTTAGGTTGTTTCTATATCTTGGCTATCTATCCATATAAAAGGCTAATATGGCCGGGACCGGTTTGGCTCAATGGATAGAGCGTCGGCTTGGGGACTGAAGGGTCCCGGGTTCGATTCCGGTCAAGGGCATGTACCTTGGTTGCGGGCATATCCCCGGTAGGGGGTGTGCAAGAGGCAGCTGATTGATGACTCTCTCTCATCGATGTTTCTAACTCTGTATCTCTCTCCCTTCCTCTCTGTACAAAATCAATAAAATATTTAAAAAAAATAAATAAATAAATAAATAAATAAATAAATAAAAGGCTAATATGTAAAGTGTCCCCTCAGGAGTTCAACCAGGAGACTGGGAGTTTGATTGCTCATTATTTGTGCTGACCACCAGGAGGCGGCACAGAATACAGGAAGGCCCCAGCCAGCAGCCAGCAACCAGCAACCAGGAAAGGAAGGCTGGAAGGCCCAGATTGGCCCTGATGGTTGGCCAAGCCTAGGGATCCTACCCGTGCACAAATTTCTGCACCAGGCCTCTAGTTGTAAATAATTCTACAATAGACATGGGGCTGCATCTATCTTTTCAAGTTAGTGTTTTTGTTTTCTTTAGATTAATATCCAGAAGTGGATTTGCTGAATCATACAGTAGTTGTGTTTTTACTTTTTTGAGGACATTCCATACTGTTTTCTATAGTGGCTGCACCAATTTACATTCCCACCAATAGGGCACAAGGGTTCATTTTTCTCTATATCCTCAGCAACACTTGTAATTTCTTGTATTTTTAATAATAGCCATTCTAGACGTAAACTCATTATGTTTTTGATGTGCATTTCTCTGATGATTAGTGATATTGAGACCCTTTCCATGATCCTGTTGGCCATATGTATGTCTTCATTGGAAAAATATCTATTCAGATCCTCTGCCCATTTTTAAATCAGATTGTTTTGGGGGTAAGATTTGCTATTAAGTTGAATAAGTTATTTAGATATTTTGGATGTTAACCACTCGTATGATTTGCAATTATTTTCTTCTATTCAGTAGCTTAATTTTTTATTTTGTTGATGCTTTCCTTTTCTGTGCAGAAGCTTTTTAGTTTGATATAGTCCTATTTGTTTATTATATTGCAATTTTAATGAATGAATTAGTTTTATGTGTGTTAACATGGTTACTGATGTATTCCCAGCTATGTTTCATAATAGTTTTGGAAATTACTATCCAAAAGAGACTCATTTGTGAGTGTGGATTTATAGTGCTGGTTTGTTTTTTTTTTCAAGGTTACAAAGTTGAACATTTTATCATTTATATCTGATAACTTAGATAAATAGATAAAACATACATTGAATGTTAACAATAAACAGTAACAGTGCTACTGAAATATAAGACATTGCAGGTAACCTCTGACTTCCACAACTCTTTAAAAAGTCTGTTATATATTTGGTACTAATTATAAAACTTATCACTGGACTATCCTATTATTTTCTTATAGATCTTGTTCCAGGGTTGAGGTCAGTGGAACCAAGAGAGGAAGAGAAAATGAAAATAGTTCCTCTCCTTCTCCCATGCCTCCATACACCCCTGCCTATAACTCTTATCTACATAATGACATGTTCAGAGTAGCTTTTGTGAAGAAAAAAAATCACCATTGCTGCATGCAAGCATGTATACTGTCCTTTTTTACCTCACAACTTAAATGTGGTCTTCCCCTGAATATTTTCTCATTTAACTATAAATCTGCTCTTAACAGAAAGAAGGGTAAAATGAATCATTAAAATAATAGTGACCATTATAATTACATTATACAATCATATATATTTAAACAAAAGTATAATTTTTCTAGATAATTAAGCCGTATCATAATCATGCTTTAGGCTTAAAAACATAATATGGCCCGGCCTATGTTGCTCAGTGGTTGAGTGTCAATCCATGAACCAAGAGGTCACCTGTTTGACTCTCAGTCAGGCAGGCTCGATCCCCAGTAGAAGGCGTGGGAGGCAACTGATAGATGTTTCTCTCTCATCAATGTTTCTGTCTACCTATCTATCCCTCTCTCTAGAATCAATAAAAATATTTTTTAAAAAGATAATGTGTTTCTTATGACAATTTTAACAATATTCAAGCTAAAAATAAAATAATTCTAGTTCATAATATTCTTATTTTTAGAAAAACCTGAACTCTAAATGTATTTGGTCTGCTTCTTAATTGTTACCTTTAAAATATTGCTGTTGATAACCAGTGTCTACAAATACCTTTTTTATTAAATTTATACACATTTGTATTGATTATGAACATATAATTGGAATAGGTAAGTACAGTCCCAAGTTACTAAACTAAAAAATTAAAAAGCATGATTTTTCAGAGGAATTTTTACTATATTTATACCTTGCCAATCCTTAATATTAACACTGAAAAAAACATAATAAGCATATAAAATATTCTGACATTCCTGCCAGGGTTAACCATAGGTTTTTTTTTATAAGGTAAATGTAATTTCTTAATTTTTAAAAATTAGAATAGCCTATAACTTGTTCTTTGCATAATATATTTTTAACAAGTCAATCGTGAACACACAATATAACTTGGGTCATTGTCATAGCTACTTATTGCTGCTCTAATTATGTACTTTTATTAGTTTAGGGAGGGGATATTTATTTCTAGAAAGTAAAAATATTAAATCATTGCCCAATTTTCAGTTTAGTCTAATACTATTAGCTTTGAATTTTTCTGTTGGCATTGTTGGTTCCTTTCCTTTTCATGTGTGATTAAATATTTTAATATATTTGTTGTCAAGCATTTTATGAGATGTTAAATGAATTCATCAACTGAATTTTGAGTTTAAAGAGTCTTGTAATATTGTAGTATTTTAAATTCCTGGTAAGAAGTGTGTGTTAATCTTCTTTATCTTTTCTTATAGTTTAATCTAGTATTTTACCTTGTAATAAAATTTTAGTAAGTCTCTTGTGAGGTTTAAGAAACCAAAATGTAGCTGATTTGGCTCAGTGGATAGAGCATCAGTCTGCAGAGTGAAGGGTCCCGGGTTCGATTCTGGTCAAGGGCAAATGCCCTGGTTGCAGGCTGGATCCCCAGTCAGGAGCATGCAGAAGGCAGCTGATCAATGATTCACTCTCATTATTGATGTTTCTATCTCTCTCTCCCTCTCCCTTCCTCTCTGAAATGAATAAAAATATATTTTTTTAAAAGTACCCAAAAAGTAGTCTAAGAATATGGAATAAAGTTAAGAAAGCAGAAGTAGTATATTAATCAAACTGAAACCTTACTATTGATGCTCCTTTCTGTCTCATCAAGGTTGTTGTGTTGTTTTTTGTTTGTTTGTTTGTTTGTTTGTTTAATGCTAGGGTAAAAATAAACAGCAAGGTATAAGCAGCCTGCATGGAAGCAATTCAGCAGCCATGGTAAACTTTGAAATAGAGTTGCTGTCAGCTTTCCTCAGCTAGTAGAACTGACAACATGAGGCTCTTGTTCCAAAATCTATTTTTTCTTATTCTACCATATATCTTCAGTTTCCAGGGTATAGTATTCAATTAAAATTGTATTTCACAAAATTTCTTAACACAGTACTAAATTTCTTAGTACATAATAGGTGCTTAATAATTAGTTGCTGAATGAATGAATGTCATAATGTGTGGGGGACAGATTATATTCTGCCTTAGAAACTGTGTTAGATAAACTACATAAATAATAAATTAACTTGATGTTAGAGAACAATCTAGAATTGAAGCAGTCTTTCATCTCAATTTAGTTCCCTCTTTGTTTTTCATATGTCATTTATATCTGAAAGAGGTATCATATAAATGAATGTTCCTTTTGAAGGTGAGTGATATGCAAGGAAAAGACTGTCTTGTGTTTGTTCACACTACTTTTAGCAAAGATGAACAAAATATTGTTTTAATCTTAAATTCCACCAATAATGAGTGGTGGTTCCATCTCTAAAGGTTTTTATTTTCATGAATTTGTTTTACCTTGAACTTGTCACAGAATATAAAAGGAATATATGTTTATTTAAGAACATTTAGAAAATACAGAAAAAATATAAAGAAGATAATTAACAAATATCCATAAAGCCATTAACAGAGGAAATACTATTACTTTTTAATACTTTAGATTCTAAAGTTTAGAATAAAAGTTTATTTTGAAAGAAATTTTAGTTCTTTCCTCACTTTAATAAGAATTATCTTTTAGATGTTCAATCTACATTTTGTAAGTATTTGTTAGATTTTTTTAAAGTTACTTAAACCATTCCTCTTTAATCTGTGTTCTCTTTTTGTAGAAAATGGCTTGATTTGCTTAATTTATAGGTCAATTGTATTTATCTTATTGTGTCTTTAACAAGTAGAGAAAATGCAAGCACTGGTATTAAATGGAAAGCCAGAAAAACTCTAACTCATAGGTGGGAAAGTCAACTGTGGAGAGAGAAAAAGTTTGGCTTAAGAGATCACCTACGTTACAGCTTTGTTTATCCTGAAAGTATTCCACGGAAATTTGTTTTCAAACACAAAAAATTTCTTATTCAGCAATATAATTGTCAGCCTGCAAAATACATAGCACCAGAAGAAAGGCCCCAAAAACTTACTGATTTTAAGAGTGCCCGAAGTCTTGGACATTTTGAAATAACCATCCTAGGTAAGTCAACTGTTTTTCCCTTTAGGTATTATTCATTTAATATATTTTAAATATAGATGATAGTGTTTTGCTTCAAAAAAAAAAATGAAGTACTCTCACAAAAAAATTAAGCTCAAGGAGCGCTTTTGTTTGGTTCAAACCAAAGAAATAGAGCACTAGTTCTGGAATACATTAAGCTCTAACTGTGGGCTTTTAAACATTGGCAAGTCCTTGGAAAGTATTTGGGGGGAGGGGGGTAGATTAGGAACCTAGGGAACTTTCCTAATCCCAGACCGACTACTTCTAAAACTGTTTCTGTTCTCTGTTAGCCACCACTTTCTTGCCCATATTCTCTGTCTCTTATTCAGAGCATCTGAACCATCAAAACTAAAATGTATGTTAAAGAGAAAAGGGTACCAATCAATAGATGCTCCTATAAACAGGGGTCTGTTTAGCCCTGAAGAAAATAAAATTTTCAAGTAACTCAGGTTGAACAGAAAGAAACTACTGAATAAACATCCCATGTCTAATAAGGAAAATAAGCTAATTTCCTCAGCTTGTTTAAAATTCAGAAGTAGCTACAGAATTTATAGACTTATAAAGGAATCAATACATTTTATATATTTATTTTAAGTTTGTTTTTAATGAGTAAAATCTACATAAAAATATTTCTAATATAAAATTTTAGCCAAAATGAACTAATTTCAAAGTCAAAGAAAACATTTTATTTGAATTTGTGTTTTAAAGAAAGATCTTGTTACCTTAAAATGAAAGAATAAGGAAAAACCATTGGCAAATGAATTAAATGCCTAAAAGAAATTGCAAATCATAGATTTTTACATCTGGACTACTGGAATAAATTACTTTGACCTTTATCAAAATTCCTTTTTCTTCTTTACTCTCTCCAACTCCCACTTCCCTACCTTCTTACACATAAATATGTACATACATGTGTATAATCTACAAAATGTGTGAATTTCTATTCACTCTGTTAGAGAGTCTTACATCTAAATTTCAGATGCTTCTTTTCACTAGAGTGCATTCTTGGTCTTTGGGGGTCAAGTTTATCGGTCTTAGTTTTATATCTAGGAAACAAATATTACAGCAACAACTTCCCTTCTATCACAAAAAAACTAACCATGGAAATAATGAGTTCATCTGAAAACACATAAATTGAATATTTTTCTTCTTTTTAACATGTTACTGGTTCATTAAACATCTCAAATAATTGTAAAACTTTGAGGCTTTTGTTATGTACCACATAAAAGCAAGAATCAAACGTGAAGAAGGCAAATTTATCATTCTTCCCAACTACTTCCAATCCATATTAGAATTATACTGTTTTATATCTTGCCTATTTTCAATGATTTAAGATGGTTAACAGGAATAAAAAACAATGAAAAATAAACCATGTATGGCTAAAACAAAACAGAATATTTAAAATAAAACAAAGAGTAGGTGTTCCTGGGTACTTGAAAATAACCAAAATGTTATCATTTGGTAGCAATTTTATGTCTTCTTTCTGGCAAGAAGGACAAAAATGTATTTTTTTTTCCTGATGAGATATTTTAGAGTTCAAAGAAAGTTGGAAATCTTCTAGTCCTACTTTCTGGCTATGTTGAAGTCAGGCCATATAAATTATGTTTCCTTAGTTTTCTATTACAGAGAAAACAAAAATATGTAGGAAACCTGTTTATTTCTTTAACAAAACTCTGAATTCTAGTTTTAACCAAAGAATCACAAATCCTATATAATAAAAGGGTAATATCCAAATTGACCCTAAAAGGGGAACAAACAGGAATGACTGGTCACTATGATTTGCACTGACCACTAGGGGGCAGACACTCAATGAAGGAGCTGGCCCCTGGTGATCAGTGTGCTCCCACAGGGGGTGCACCACTCAACCACAAGCCAGGCTGATGGCTGTGAGTGCAGGAGCAGTGATGGGAGCCTCTCCCGCCTCCTTGGCAGCACTAAGGATGTCTGACTGTGGCTCCTGGGCTGCCAGAGGGATGTCTGACTGTCAGCTTAGGCCCAATCCCCAGTAGACATCCCCTGAAGGGTCCTGGACTGTGAGAGAGTGCAGGCCAGGCTGAGGGACACCCCCATCCCAAGTGCACAAATTTTTGTGCACCAGGTCTCTAGTGTTATTAATAATATATAATCTAAATCACCTTAATTTGCAGTTTAAGAATCAACTGAAAGTAGGATCAATGACATGCTGATAATAAAGCTATCTTCCTGAAAATATCAGATTTTCCAACTTCAGATATTTTCTCAATTTCAAAGCATATTTTCTTTTTTTCACATTTGCAAGTTGGACTGCTTCTTATAGTCAATAGATGCATTGAATGCAGTGTTTGCTTTTTATTTAAAACTAGGAGCCCAGTGCACAATTTGTACACTGGGGTTGGGCGGGGGGAGGGGGGTCTCTCAGTCCACCCTGACCCTTCTCACATACTGGGAGCACTCAGGGGATATCCTACCCATGGGGAGCTGGCCTAAGCCACAGTCTGGCCTCCTTTTGTGGGAGGCAACTGGGCTGATCAGGGGAAGGCACCAGCCCCATCACTCTGCTTCTGTAGCCACTGCCAGTCACTGCAGCCACCAAGGTGTTTTCATCAACACGGACTCCAGTCCCTTCACCATGAAAAAATGACAACTTTCTTTAGGCATTTTTAAAAAAATGTATTTTATTGATTTTTAACAGAGAGAAAGGGAGAAAGATAGAGAGCTAGAAACGTCAATGAGAGAGAAACATCCACCAGCTGCCTCCTGCACACCCCCCACCAGGGATGTGCCTGCAACCAAGGTACATGCCCTTGACAGGAATCGAACCTGGGACCTTTCAGTCCGCAGACTGACGCTCTACCACTGAGCCAAACCGGCTTCAGCTCTTTAGGCATTTTTAAGATAAGTCTTTCATAGGATATGACATTTCTTTCTTTTTTTTTTTTTATCTCACCTGCGGATATGTTTCCATTGAATTTTAGAGAATGTGAAAGAGGGAAATATAGAGAGAAACATCAAAATGAGAGGGACACTTTCATTGGTTGTCTCATGCAGGAGCCCTGATCTAGGCCCAAGCCAGAGAGGAGCCTGCAACCTAGTTACATGCCTTTGATCAGAATCAAACCCGGACTCTGTGGCCTGCAAGCCTAGGCATTATCCACTGAGCCTAACTGGCTAGGACAGGATATGACATTTCTTAGCCCTCCAGCAATGGACCTTCGTTTTTCTCTCCAAGAATGTGGTGGGAAAAGCCTAGATCAACTTTTTGGATTCTTAGACCCAAGTTACTAAGAATATTACCAGTGGCATACAGGGAGCTTAGCCAATGAGCGGTCAGAAAAGGTGTTTCCTCTGTAATCACCAGCTCCGCCCCTGCCAAGACCTAAAGCCTTGGGACCTGGGCAGGGGCCCCCCAGCTCCCTCCCATCACCGATTCCACCACTGCCCAGGAGCCCCTTGGCTCAGGCCCTTCCCAGGTTGCTCAGGACCCACACTACCTCAGAGTGACCTGGGTGCCAAGAAAGTTCCCAGGACCCAGGCTGCTGGGCGCCTACATATGCAAATTAACCACCATCTTTGTTGGGTTAATTTGCATACTCATCTGTCTGTGGGCATAGCAGAGGTACAGTCAATTTACTTCTTTGTCTATTTTTAGGTACTAGAAGCCCAGTGCACAAAAGTCATGCTCAGGGGTTAAGGTGTGTCCCTCAGCCCAGCCTACACCCTCTCCAATCTGGACCCCTCAAGGGCAGTTGGAAATCCCTCTCACAATCCAGGACTGCTGGCTCCCAACTGCTCTCCTGTCTGCCTTCCTGATTGCCCCTAACCTCTTCTGCCTGCCAGCCTGATTACCCTGCTTCCAGCCTTATTGATGTCTAACTGCTCCCCTGCCAGCTTGTTTGCCCCCAACTTTCCTCATCTGCCAGCCTGTTCACCTCTAACTGCCCTCCTCTGCAGGGTTGATTCCCTCCAACTGCCCTCCCTTGCAGGCATGGTGCCTCCCAACTGCCCTCCCCTGCTGGCCATCTTGTGGTGGCCATCTTGTGTCCACATAGGAGCAGCCATCTTTGACCACGTGGGAGCAGCCATCTTGTGTGTTGGAATGATGGTCAATCTGCATATTACTTTTATTATTTAGGATAGAGGCCTGGTGCATGGGTGGAGGCCAGAAGGGTGTCCTGGATCAGGGTGGGGGTTCCCTTGGGGTATGGAGCGGCCTGAGCAAGGGGCCTGTGGTGGTTTACAGGCCAGCCATGCCTCCTGGCGACCCAAGTGGAGGCCCTGGTATCTGGAATTTATTTACCTTTTACAATTGAAACTTTGTAGCCTGGAGCATAGCCAAGCCTCCTGCTTGCTCTGTGGCTGCCGCCATTTCTGTTTGGATTTGTTTACCTTCTATAAATGAAACTTTATAGCCTTGATTGGAGGCCTAGGCCAGCTCCAGCAGGCGGAAATCTTGGCTTCGTTCGTTGCCTGGGAAACCCAAGACTCCCTCCTGCTCTCTGTGGCTGTAGCCATCTTGGTTGGTTTATTTGCATACTCACTCTGATTGGCTGGTGGGTGTGGCTGGTGGATGTAGCAGAGTGGTGGTTAATTTGCATATTACTCTTTTATTATGTAGGATGATACCTATTAGCCCACAGCAGTTTGGCTCAGTGGATAGAAAATCAACCTGTGGACCAAAGGGTCCCAGGTTCGATTCTGGTCAAGGACCCATGTTTTGGTTGCAGGCTTGATCCCCAATAGGGTGTGTGCAGAAAGCAGCCAATCAATGATTCTCTCTCATTATTGATGTTTCTATCTCTCTTCTTCCTTCCTCTTTGAAATCAATAAAAATATATTTAAGAAACTAAGTAAATTAGATAAAATACTTATTAAATTGAAGGTATATCTATGATTTAAATTTAATCTTAGCATCAAGGAAATAAGACACCAGAATGTGCACATTTACAAGGGTTTTGCAGCATTGCTAAGATTCATGAGGTAGCTATACTTGTAATACTGAGTTGGAATCCTCAGTAAATTCTAGATAACATGGCTATTTTAGTTTATGAAAACCAAATTTTAGTAATTCCTTGCAAATCTTTAGCCCTTGGTCATATGTTACATTAAAACTATGGCATTTTGTGTCATTTGCCCATAAAAAGCAAATAATGCACTTGCATTTCTCGATTAATTTACAGCTCAACAGGAAGGACTTTGTTTACACATCATTGTGTCATACTAAGGAGTTAAGAATCATTGTAAGGATGAATAGGAGAGATATTAAGGTCATAGAATCTCTAGGACTCTGTGACAAATATCATGGAAGAATGAAAGGAAGGAGTTATGGATAGTTCCCAGGTTTCTGGTTTGGGTAACTAGATAGAATTCATACAGTTTTGCTCTGTGTATTTACCCTTGCTTCAACCGCAATGGGCTCCTTATGTGGCCTATACTTTTGGCTACTCCATTCCCTGCCTGAAATACCCTCATGTTTACTTAAAAGCTATTCATCCTTCAGACCCTTGCCTTTAGGAAGTCTTTTTCTACCCTAAATGACATTGACCCTAAATGTAAAAAGATGACAGTAATAGATCAGGATTCAGTTTGGTTGGTCCCCTATAGCCTCTTTTCTACTGCAGCCTCTTATAGCCCTAAGAGTGAGTTACTGACATTTATATATTTGAGGACAGATTAGACTTAGTTATTATGGTGCATGCCATACCATACCATACCATACCACACCATACCACACCATACCACACAATAACATACCATATATTCTTAAGTCCAAATGCAATAAGGGAGCCAATAGTCTTCTCATGAATGATGAAAACAGCACTATACAAGTCTTCATTTATGTGACTAGGCCATTCTCTGCATATTAATATTTTAACCTTCAAGCTTTCATTAGTAGGGAAATTTTTTTGTAATGTTATTTCCAGCAGTGGTGAAAGACTGCACTGAACTGTCTTCCTCTTTCAACCAATAGCATGTATTCATAAATGTTTGCACAGCTAAGAATTTAGGCCACAGTTTTCAAAGTGTCTTTTTTTCATCCTCACCGGAGGATAGCATGGAAAGAAGGGAGGACTGGAGGGAGGGAGTGGGAGAGAAGGGAAGAGAGAGAGAAAAAGAGAGATATCATCAATGTGAGAGAGATACATCAATTGGCTGCCTCCCACACATGCCCAGACTCAGTTGGGGAATGAACCTGCAACGCAAGCACATGCCCTTGGCTGGGAATCAAACACTCGACCCTTCAGTGCGTAGACTGATGTTCCAACCACTGGGCACACTGTCCAGGGCTCAAACTGTCCTTTACAGGTGTGAAGCTATTTGGCATATGTTAGGATCAAATCAGCAACTTGGCTTCATTAGCACCATATACTAACCCACTAAATTTTAATAAATGTCATTTTTCTTTAACAGGTCTGAACCATGAGAGAGCAATTGATGTTGCATTTCTACCCCTGTACCATCCAGAAGATATCCAAATATCTCAAATAGACACATTATTAGCCTGTATGAATTACAGCTGCGTGTATCCACAGAAAGTAACTGATTCTGAGAAAATGCCAGGTCCAAGAGCCCTTGCAGGTATTACCATCTCAGTGTTCTTTTCATTCAGAAAATAAAATTAGTATGTAAGTAGTCATGTTTTGTGGAATGTGCACCTGAAACCTGTATAATTTTGTTAACCTGTGTCACCCCAATATGTTCAATAAAAAGGAAAAACTAGCCGAAACCAGTTTGGCTCAGTGGTAGAGCATCGGTCTGCGGACTGAAGGGTCCCAGGTTCAATTCCAGTCAAGGGCATGTACCTTGGTTGCGGGCACATCCCTGGTGGGGGGTGTGCAGGAGGCAGCTGGTCGATGTTACTCTCTTATCGACATTTCTAGCTCTCTATCTCTCTCCCTTCCTCTCTTTACTGTAAAAAATCAATAAAATATATTTTTTAAAAAGGAAAAAATATTGTAAACAGTCTTAACCTTAAGATGTTTTTATATAAACCAGAGGTGGGGACCATCTGGTCTACCAGGTGTATCATTTGGTTTGGCCCTGCCAACGCAACCACAGGTGAGACACAAAATTCAATAAATCTAGGAGCTTTCTTCATAGCAATAAAAATTTTAAGTTAATCATTTTATATGTCCTGCAAATGAAGTTATAAATATCCAAGTGGCCCTTGGCAGAAAAAAAGGTTTCCCACCCCTGATATAAATAGTCATAGCCTTAACATCCTACCTAATAAAGAGGGAATATGCTAATTGACCCTCATGCCATCGCAAAGTTGGTAGTGCCCACAGCCAATAAGGAGGGAATATGCTAATTGCCTGCCCTACCCTCAAATATGGCAGCACCCACAACCAATAAGGAGGGAATATGCTAATTGAACATCACACTCTCAAAGATGGCAGCACCCACAGCCATAAGATGGCGGTGCCCAGTCCCCTCAGCCCCCAAGCTACTCAGCACCGGCCCATGGCACAGGCAAGCCTCAGACATGGGTTGCCCAGCCATCCAGGGCTGGCCCAAGGCACAGGCAAGGATCAGATGGTGGCTGCCCAGCCACCCAGGGCCACCCAAGGCTCAGGTAACCAGGGCTGGCCAAGGCTTGCACTGCCATCAGTGGCAGCAACAAAAGTGTGACAGGGGCATTTGCCTTCCCCTGATGGCCAGATTGCCTCCTGCCCCTAAGGACTCCTGGACTGTGAGAGGGAGCAGGCTGGGCTGAGGGACCACCCCCCCCCCCTCCAGTGCATGAAATTTCTTCTAGTTTAATATAGTTTGAAGAATTATTTTATAAATGTACCCTAAGACTTCTAAGTGAAAATTTATATTTAAAATAAAATAGAATAACCCTAACTGGTTTGGCTCAGTGGATAGAATGTCGGCCTGTGGACTCAAGGGCATATACCTTGGTTGCGGGCACATCTCCAGTAGGGAGTGTGCAAGAGGCAGCTGAATCGATGTTTCTTTCTCATATAAGTTTCTAACTCTCTATCCCTCTCCTTTCCTCTCTATAAAAAAATTGATAAAATATATTTTTAAAATAAAATAAAATAGAATGGATTAATGGTTTTTATTCCAGGCAGGCATTAACCATGTTCTCTTACAGACTTGCCAGTGTTTCTCAGTGGTTGAGAGTCCACTTATAAGTTAAGAGGTCCCTGGTTTGATTCCCAGTCAGGAAACATGTCTAGGGTTCAGGCTCAATCCCCAGTAGGGGACATGCAGGAGCACCTGATCAATGTTTCCATCTCTCCATGTCTCTCCCTAAAAAAAAGGTTTTTAACTAAAGAGTTTTCTCTTGTAATACAATTCTGAATGTAAGTATTGGACCTACTAGTAAGTGGTATATACACATAGGAGCAATGCAAATTTCTAATCTCTCTTATTAAGTCAGATGAGACAATTTATCCTCTCACCTTATAATTGCCTGAAATTTTAATACCTCCATAGTATAGAACAATTGTTTTCTCTTATAAATGTTTAGTTATTCAAATGCTATGCAATAAACTCCTTGAGGAGTGATAGCAATGTATGTAATTCCAATAGTAAAAACCTTCAACAAAATACTTAGGCTACTACATAATATATCAAAAATTTATATATACCAAAATTATTTATATATAACCAAAATTATTTATACATACCTATAAAATTATGTGTCCATGATTAACTTATTTACTTTCTCTGTTATTTCTATTTCCTAAGCATGTAGTACAGTTTTTAGAAGGTTTCATTGAGCTTATAAGGATATTACACTTAAAATATATATTAAGAAAGCCTTTATTATTTTTTTAATTTTTTATTAAATTATTATATGTGTACATATACCATTGCGCCCCCCCCATACATGCCCTCCCTCCCCAGAGTTTTCTTTCCATTGGTTGTACTTATATGCATTTATACAAGTCCTTCAGTGGATCTCTCATCTTTCTCAGATCTCCCTACCTTCCCCGCTGTAATTTGACAGTCTGCTTGTTGCTTTACTGTCTCTATATCTATCTTTTGGTTCATCAGTTTATAATGTTCTTTATTATCCATAAATGAGTGAGGTCATGTGGTGTTTCTCTTTCATAGACTGGTTTATTTCACTCAGCATGATTTTCTCCAATTCCATCCAGGTTGCTGCAAATGATGAGAATTCCTTTTTTATGGCAGCATAATATTCCATCATGTAGATGTACCACAGTTTTTGGATACAATCATCTGCTGATGGACACTTAGGCTGTTTCCAAATGCTAGCTATTGTAAATTGTGCTGCTATGAACATAGGGGTGCATATATCCTTTCTGATTGGTGTTTCTAGTTTCTTGGGATATATTCCTAGGAGTGGAATTACCGAATCAAATGGGAGTTCCATTTTCAGTTATTTTGAGGAAGCTCCATACTGTTCTCCACAGTGGTTGCACCAGTCTACTTTCCCACCAGCAGTGCACGAAGGTTCCTTTCTGCAACATCACCAACACTTGTCCTTTGTTGATTTGTTGATGTAGGCCATTCTGATAGGTGTGAGATGGTACCACATTGTGGTTTTGATTTGCATCTTTCGGATAATTAGTGACTTTGAGCATGTTTTCATGTGCCTCTATGCCTTACTCCTGTCTTCTTTTGAGAAGATTCTATTTAGATCCATTGCCCATTTTTTAATTGGTTCAATTATTTTCCTTTTATTAAGTTGTATAAGCTGTTTGTAGATGTTGGAGATTAAAACTTTATCAGTGATAACATTTACAAATATGTTCTCCCATACAGTGGGCTTTCTTGTTGTTTTGTTGATGGCTTCTTTTGCTGCAAAAAGGTTTTTATTTTGATGTAGTTGCATATGTTTATTTTCTCTTTAGCTTCCATTGCCCTAGGGGAAATATCAGTGAAGAAGTTCTTTTGGCATATGTCTGGGATTTTGCTGCCTATGGATGCCTCTAGTATTTTTATGGTTTCCCGTCTTATGTTTAAGTCCTGTATCCATTTTGAGTTTATTTTTGTGTATGGTGTAAGTTGGTGATCTAATTTCATTCTTTCGCATGTCTCTGTCCAATTTTCCCAACACAATTTATTGAAGAGATTGTCTTGACTCCATTGTATGCTCGTGCCTCCTTTGTCAAATATTAATTGAGCATAGTGACTTGGGTTGACATCTGGATTCTCTATTCTATTCCATTGATCTATATGTCTGTTCTTGTGCTAGTACAAGGATGTTTTGAGAATAGTGGCTTTGTAATATAGCTTGAAACCTGGTATTGAGATCCCTCCTACTTTACTCTTCTTTCTCAGGATTGCTGTGGCTATTCGGGGTCTTTTATTGTTCCAAATGAATTTAGGCAGAGTTCTTTCTAGGTCAGTGAAATATGCCGTTGGAATTTTAATGGGGAGTGCATTGAACCTATGGATTGCTTTGGGAAGTATGGGCATTTTAATTATATTGATTCTACCAATCTATGAACATGGTATGTTCTTCCATCTATTTACATCTTCTTCTATATCCTTTTTCATTGTTATGTAGTTTTCCACGTATTTTATTCCTAGGTATCTTAATTTTTGGTGCGATGGTAAATGGGATTGCTTTTTTAGTCTCTGTTTCTGTAAGTTCACTGTTGGTGTATAGAAATGCCATAGATTTCTTGGTGTTAATTTTGTATCCTGCTACTTTGCCGAATTCATTTATTAAGTCTATTAGTTTTTTGATGGAGTCTTTTGGTTTTTTTATGAACAATATCATATCATCTGCAAATAAGGAAAGCTTTACTTCTTTTCCAATTTGGATGCCTTTTATTTCCTCTTTTTGTCTAATTGCAATGGCTAGTACTTCCAGTACTATGTCAAAAAGGAGTGGTGAGAGTGGGCATCCTTGTCTTGCTCCTGTTCTTAGAGGCAATGATTTTAGTTTTTGTTCATTGAGTATGATGTTTCCTGTGGGTTTATGATATTTAGCTTTTATTATGTTGAGATATGATCCTTCTATTCCCCACCTTGTTGAGCGTTTTTATCAGGAAAAGGTGTTGGATTTTATCAAATGCTTTTTCTGCATTAATTGATATGACTATATGATTTTTATCTCTCAATTTGTTTATGTGTTGTATCACGTTTATTGATTTGTGGATATTGTACTATCCTTGCATTCCTGGAATAAATCTTACTTGGTCATGGTGTATGATCTTTCTGATGTTCTCCTGGAGCCAATTTGCTAGAATTTTGTTGAGGATTTTGGCATTTACATTCATGAGGAATATTGGCCTGTAATTCTCTTTCATTGTGTTGTCTTTATCTGGTTTTGTTATTAGATTGATGCTGGCTTCATAGAAGGAGTTTGGAAGTGTTCCTTCCTCTTGAATTTTTTGGAATTATCTGAGGATAGGTTTTAGTTCTTCCTTGAATGTTTCGTAAACCTCTCCATGAAGCCATCTGGCCCTGGGCTTGTGTTTACTGGAAGCTTTTTGCTGACTGTTTCAATTTCTTCCCAAGTCACTGGTCTACTGATATTTTTAGATTCTTCCTGATTGAGTTTTGGAAGGCTGTATTTTTCTAGGAATATGTCCATTTCCTCCAGGTTGTCCAGTTTGTTGGAATAGAGTTGTTCATAGTATTTTGTT